CTCTACCTAATATGCTAGTTTTGTCATTTAGAAAATATATAGATATTTTATAGAAGTCCAAGATCACGTCCATATTCAATATATTTTCTCCCTTCCAATTTGCTTCTTAAACAGTCATCTATTTATGCATATTATTCATATCTTGTCCTTCATATTTTCCATATATTCGCCTTCTATTTGATCTTTACAATGACATTTGATACTTTGATCATCACAGTTATTTGATTAAATAAGGCCAAATGGTTGTAGGTATCCAATAGATTCTTTTGTTCAATAATTACTTAAATCAGGATCTCAATAATTCTAATTCAGTATTTTAGCAGTATTTTCTGTATTTACAAAACTGGGATGTGATCTTCAAAAGTTCCTTCAAAAGTTATTATAAAGCTGTAATTGTTCACATAAGTGAGAATAAAAATTAATAAATATATTTAGAATATTTGATTAGATTTAAATAAGAATTTCATGAATTTATTGTAATTTTAATTGAAATAAAAAATAATGTTTAGTTTTGTCATCCACAAAGCAAGCCATCTTATTCTGAATCTCTAATTTAGTATCATTTATGAACAAACTATAAAATATGAATCCCTACACTGTTGATTTCCATTTTAATTTGCCTATTGATAATAAACTTGTGATGGCCTCTTCTACATGCCAAAAAGATTGGTAGTAACATACACAGTATTTTCTGTGACAGCACCCTAAGAGAAAATATAATTAATAACATACAGTGAAACTTTTATCCAATTAATCAATTAAGGGAACAGGTATTCATTATTCCCAATTGCCTATTCATCCAATGACTGTATTACCTGCAGTAATATTATTACCACAAATTATAAATTTGCGTCATTTATGTGATTTGCATTTACAGTGGAGAATCTATCTGTTACATCTGAAGACTATTGCATCTGTTAAATAAAAATTACATTGCATATAATAATTATGTAATTCTGACATCCTTCTCCTCACAACCTTGTTTAACACACATACCTAGAATTGCTGCCATTCTCTGTAGTCCTATATTTGTTTACTCTGAAACAAAATTTACTGGATGCAATTGGACTAGCTTCCATTTACTAGGGCATACAATTGTAACAATGATTTAAGAAGAAAAAAATATTGTAAGCTTTTATTTTGTTTAGCCATTTTTTTGCAGAATATTTTTCTCATATTTAGCTAGTAATGTTATTTTCTGATTAATATGGATGACTACTGGCAGATAAAATCATATGGCTCAAGGCTATATTTCTACTGCTAAACTGAGCATGCATTTTTATTCTAAATAATTTCCATCTGAAACCTGTGCATGCTCATGTTGTGTGTGTATAATGGTTAATGTTAGAAATATTGAAAAAAACAGGCTGAGGCAGTAACAAAACATAAGGCTTCAAAATCTTGCTACCCACTATCTACCCGTTTCCTTTTATGAAATTCATAATAACTTGGTACTGTTTAAAATTCTATAAATCAGGGTTTGGTTTAAATATACATCTACACCATTCTTCAAGAGTAGAAAAATGGCATACACATTGTAAAATTATAATCTGTAATTGGAATTAAAAAAAGCCAGGATTTTACAGTTGGTGCTCTACAATCCAGTTAACCTGGAATAGTACTTCTTAAACTGATTGAAATCTATTGCCTCACAAGGTTGATTTTAACAAACTATTCTAATGAATTAAGACTGGGAACAAAGGCTTTTGCTGCATTTGAAGAATTATATGGCCAGTAAGAAGCCACAAAACTCATTAGTATTCTTAATTTTATAACTTGCTTTTATTTTAATTTGAAAATATGATATACAGGGATAGGAATATATTTTCTTAAAGAGGCAGATGAATATGATGACAGAAAGGAATTTAGCAACAGACTAAGATAAGATATGATAAGATAAGCTTTATTGTCACATTTTGCTGAGAACACACCGATACACATAAAAAAATGAAATTCTGACACCCACTCTCAAAAGAATACACACACACACAGTGTTCTTCACTTTGAAAGAAAAATTAGATTTTTCAAGTATGTGATGAAAGATACCTGACTTGATTATTTGGTGACCTAATATAATTTAAACCTAAATACTATTGCTCTGCTATTGCTATTATAATCCTTTTGAAAAAGAAAAAGAAGTATAAACTTAATATGAATCAACAGAGTGATATGCAAAAAAGGAACTGTAATTTTATTTCTTATTTATTTATTTGGTTGTTTTAGACTGCATCAGTCTATGTTCCAAACTAAAAGAAATAATAGTTTCAATTTATTTTGCTTTGGTCAGATCCCAATCAACTAGTATCCAGATTTTTACATAATTTTTAAAGTTTCAGAGAAAGTGTAATAGATTCCATTTTCCAGGGTTCATGGGACAGTAAAAAGGAAAAAAAAGTATAATTTTACAATTGAACCAATAACATACGGAAATGACAGAGTCCTCTTAACTGGTTTCCTTTAAAGCTGAGTCTCAATAGGTTCTATCAAAGATGCTTTGATTTGAATGATTGTGCTAGATTCAATAACATAAAATAAATATTTTTAATAAAAAATTTATTTTCAAACATAAACACGCAAGACATATAACATAAAAAACCTCTTCAACTACATACAGTGTGTCGATTGGTTATAAAATCTTTCTCCATCCTTTCCATAGTCATCACTTGAGCTTTATCAAAAATCACTTATTGTCAATCAAATATCTTTGTATACATTATTATTGTACTTCATTTGTTTAATTATCATTATTGTTTCACCATTTTAAACAAGGTATTCTAAATATGTATCCATTTATCTTGTGATGATTCATTATATCATCTTCAATATATCCAATAATAAAGAATTTTTTTGTATCCTATTCTAAATCATTCTATTATTTTAGCATTAATAACATTCTCTAATAATTTTCAATTCCATGGTTTTTCCATTATTAGTATCATCAATCTAATATATATTTATACAAATTATTATAATTGTTAAACTTCCATTAAGCATAGCTATTACATTCTTTTTATATGAGGCATATTAAATTTGAAGTAAATTTATATTATGGCATTTCATTACATCATCCTGAAATCATCCAATGATATTACATCTTTATATTCTCTTCTATATAGAATTATTTATCTTTTATAGAAAGGCTTTTCAACATCATCTCCATTATTCTCACTTACAGTTTATATAAAATTTCATATTATCAATCTAGTATATATAAATGTTTTATTATCATTACTGATCATTTATTTTACTATAGCTATTATTACTTTATCTTATACATAATACTCAACATTTAACTACATTTAACTAAATTTTATTGTGACATTTCATTTCATCATCCTGTATCCTTCCAGAAATAGTGCAGTCCAATATCTCTTGCCATTTGTAGAATCTGTATTCTAAGTGTTTTCTTGATAAGTCTTATGTGGACTTCTCTTGACAACTTGTTGTTCATTGGATATCTTAAAAGAATTCGAAACCCTCCATCTGTTCTTTCATCTGCTTGACTTTTGTTATCACTGGTGCTTCTGACGAAATTACTCTCATTGTCTCTGCCAAATTTTCTCCCCTATCTTCATCTATGTTTTGACATCTGAGATAGAGTTCCAATTCATCGATTTCTCCTTTCCGTATTCCACACTTATCATTTCCCTCCACACTCGATTTGCTGTCAATGTCAACAATTTTCTTACCACTTTCATATGTCTCTGTAATTTTTTGAACTCTGTCCTCAAATTTCATCATTGTTTTATAAGTATTCTCAACTCTTCCCTCCGTACTTTCTATATTTTGATATTTTGTATTTTGATCTATAAATTCAAGACTCTTTTCAATTCTCTCTGTAGTTATTGAGTTTTTGAATTTCTAACATAATTTTTTGCAATGTTAGTTCCTTTTCTTCTTCATATAGTGCCATTTTTCCAAGTTATAAACACTGCCACTAAAACATCCAAGGCTTTTGCTAGGTTTCAAACAAATTCAGTGAAGTTTTTTCCACTGACTCTTTCAGTAAACCAAGCCGATAGCTTTGTAATATCAGATGTTGCCAAGCCTCTAGCTACTAGATGGCAGTGTTACATCTTTTCCCTCTGTTTTTGGCTCTCTTTTCTAAACTCTGAGCTCCGGAAAGGGTTTTTCTCCAGAAAGAGAAAAAAAAATTTTTTAAAGATTACGATCCGGCTGAGCCTTGCGAGGAAAGAGGCTTTTAATCCACAAACACACAAAAAAAATTGGGAAAAGTATAGAGGAAGAGTGGGGGGGGGGGAAGACCAGTCCAGTTTAAAAGTAAGAGGCATTTGTAAAAATCCATCCATAAAAAACAAACAATTTAAGTGAAAAAGATAACACAATAGTTTTAAACTAGAGTAAATTTTCTGCTTGTTTCCTTCTGTCTTCAATTTTATTTTAACTCTTGAGTCTTTTGGATTTTCTCTTCTCTAATAATAAAGATTTTTCTCACCATTTTGACACACTGTCTCTCCTGTGCTACTGCCGTTTCAGGGGCTTGTCCCAACTTTCTGTAGCCATATTGGCTGCTTCTCTTGCAGCAGGCAAAAAGAGCTTTTTCCTGGATCAATCAGGGGCTTTGAGATGCCCCTGAGATCAGCAGGACATGCCCTTCACTATCACCGTTCCTTCAGAACGGTTTAGATCCAAAAGGATCATCCAGCAACAGACATATCGACAGCAATCCTGGAGTCCCCAAGATTGCATGTCATGTCGTTGCGACGTCAAGACCCGCCTCATAAAATAAATATTTTAATACCTCTATTGATGTTTCCCAATAAGCTCTTAATAGAGCAAAAAGCATACATGAGGAACTGAATGCCAATAAAATCTCACAAAACATGCATTTACAAACTTTGTAGCAAGCATATTATGAATTTTAAAGGAAATTCTGAGAAGACATCTTGTTATGCCATTGGCTTTGTAAAAGAAATAGAAAATGGTACTTGTATGATAAGCATTTTTTTCTTTTTTCATCCTCTCGATTTTATTTCTAGGCTCTGGAAAGTGAATTTGTATCTTGTCAGCTTCACCAATGGATTGATCTCATATTTGGCTATAAGCAGCGTGGGCCAGAAGCAGTGCGGGCACTTAATGTTTTCCATTACTTGACATATGAAGGTTCCATAAACCTTGACAGTATCACTGATCCTGTCCTCAGAGAAGTAAGTACCTCACACTTTTTCCCTTCAGTTATGATAAATGTATCTTAAAATTATTAATTACTGCTCTTCATTTTTTTAAAATGAGTTATTTTGTTTTATTTTGTAATCCCATAATACATTTAGTGCTCATCTTACAGTTTGTTTAGTGACCAATTGAAGTTACAACAGCTCTGAAAAAAGTGCTTATGACCGTTTTTCACATTTATGACTATTACAGCATCCCCACGGTCATGTGATCAAAATTCAGCACTTGGCAACTGACTCATATTTATTATGATTACAGTGTCCCAGGGTCATGTGATCACCTTTTGTAACAAAGTTAACTGGAAAGCAGAAATTCATTTAACCGTGTTACTAACTTAACAACTGCAGTGATTCACTTAACCACTGTGGCAAGAAAGGTCATAAAATGGGGACAAAACTCACTTAACAAATGCCTCACTCAGCAACAAAAATTTGGGCTCAATTGTGGTCGTAAGTCAAGAACTACCTGTACTTCAAAATAAAAAGGTGTCTGTATAACTGCACTTGGTCAAGCTTATTTGTTGTACCATAAATTGCCATCTGTATCTTGAATAATTGATTCAAGGCAGTGAAAGATGGAAATCTGGTTTAAAAATTTATTTCTCTTTTGAGCTTATATGAAACAACATATATGTTATTAAAATGTAGATTAGATGTTGGAGAACTTTGCTGACATTACAAATATCCCTTTGGATTTTCTACAGTTATATTGATTTAATGATCAAGTGAAGTTAAAATGGGTTATATGTTTTTTCTAACATGTTATATTTAGTAAGTTACTAACTAGAAGAGTTGGATATTTTGAAATCCATACATATGTACATTTATTATACATACTGTTTTTGTTTTTATTTGTTTATTCATTAATAAATGCACAGAAAATAAAATAGCCCAAACACGAATAAACATGCAGGTTTCTTTTAGCATGTTTGTATAGTATTTTATAGCACTTTAAAAAAAAATGGCTTCTGCAAAATGTCCTTCAATGTATTGCCTCGTAGCTTGTCAATTTATCTTAGGAAAATTATTATTAGATTAACACAGAAATATAAAACATTCTATTTCAAAATTCACTTTGGTTGAAAAGTGTGAAGATGCAACAGCTGCAAGATGAGTGTTGTTGTGTTGAGGCTGCATACATAAGCTTCCATGCCCTATGATATCTGCCATCTGTTGTATGCAAAACAAGCAATAATTTAAACAAAGGCAGTAGAATACTTGTAGCTTTCTTCCCCCCCCCCAAAAAAAAACCAAGAATCCAGAATTTTATAGTTAATTAGTTAATTATCTCACAAACTAAATATTACAATATATTTCTGTAACATTTCTACAGTTTAGGCTACGCTATACATTACGAGATATTAGAACCCTATTTCATGGTAATTGAAGGCCTTCATGGATTGTATTCATGCAGTCATTGAAAAAGTTGAAATATTTTTTATCTTTCATTTTAATATTGGAAAGGCAGGCTATAAATTTAACAAATAAATACTTTAAATGATTTGGATCTAAATTTAATTCATCATCCCAACTGACTCAATGAAACCCGAGCAACTCACTCTCGTTTATTTCAGGAAGTCTAATAAATTAACTATGAACATATCAAGAAAGAAACTTCTTGAAGAGAATTTTTGAGGACAAGGATTAGGATAGCATTTCTCCATTTCCAATTATCCTCCCTGAAGTAGTTATAAGATTTTTTAGGATTTCTATTCTTTTGCGTGTGTTTGTGTGTTATTGTTCAGCTTCCTTCTGATACAGGTAATCCTAAATTTAACAACCATTTGTTTAGTGACCATTTGAAGTTTCAACAGCGCTAAAAATGTGACTTACAGGAGCTTCTCCCACTTATGACCATTGCGTAATCCCCAAAGTCATGTAATCAAAATTGACAACTGGTATTTATTTATGATGATTGCAGCATCCTGAAATCATGTGATCACCATTTGCAACCTTCTCAGCCAGCTTCTGACAAGCAGAGTCAATGAAGAAGCTGAATTTGCTTGACCATAAAAAGCCTAACAGAGAATATTTGTGCTGACAGTAAACATGTACCAAGTTATGCTTTCCTTATTTTTTTCTATAAATTATTATCAGATCTGATTAAACTGTAAGATTGATTTACTGTATAAAGAGATTAGGGACAAGGTAAAAATAATCTTCCTTTTGGAAGAGGAGTCATATTTCATTTTGCCCGCCTCGTGCACACACACACACCCCTTTCATAAAAGGCTAATTTAACACTTAGGGGTTTTTCTCCCATTAGATGTATTGTATTCCATGAGCAAGCCAAACCACTTTTCTTTAATTATTGTATATATGTCCAGATATTATTTATAGTCTAATGAAATGGTGCTTCATTGGGGGATAAGAAGGAACTATTGTTAGAGATACACACAAATTAGAAACATAGCAAACTCTAGTTTCATCAGATAACATTTACAAGAATCCTGATGTAATGATAGTTTCCCTTTTTTCAAAACCAAGAAATTTAGTAAAATGAAAGATAAAATGTAATAAACATCTCAAGGATATTGATTTGTTTTTTTCCTTGACAGGTGAAATCATAGTTACAGCACTAACCACAGCAATTATTGCATTAAAATGTCACGAAATTAGAGGTCAGAATAAGAGATAATTTTCTTCCATATGTCAGATTAAAAGTTGACATTCTTTGACAGCACAGGATTTCTAGCTGAGAAATTATGACAGCTTAACTCATCTTGCACATGTACAACAGTAATTGATAATGAACTTTTCCATGACAGCCCTCTCCTGTGGAGAAACATGACAGAACATCTCTGCTACGAAGTCTGCATCCCTGTTTAATATGTAAACAGCAGTTGCATTAGACCCTCGATGTTGTTTGGGATTGTCTTTACTATTGGTGTACATTATAAATCCAACCAATGTTTTTAGCCTTTTCAGCTATCATCAGAATACTGGTTGTGAGAATGTTAATGTATAGAATTAGTGGACACATTGAATGTAGATTACAGTGTAGTATTTCAAAGTTTTTGTATACAATTTCTCGATTGTTTTCTTTTATTTTAGGCACATTGTCATATGTACAAAGAAATATCCTTTGCAGTACTTTCATTAGCACTCATGAACTGTGTGCAAGTTTCCATTTGGAAATATTGCAACAGCTCTATGGAGTCCTTCATGCTCTTTAAGCTTGCTTGCTTGCTTGTGGATATTTGATTGCCCAACTAGAGAATATCATCAGTGCTAGTGAGCATGGGGTTTGCTCCCTGTTTATTTACAGTAGCTTGCCCTGCCAGTGTTGTTGGGGCTGTAGTTTTCTTTCTTTCTTTCTTTCTTTCTTTCTTTCTTTCTTTCTTTCTTTCTTTCTTTCTTT